TTTCTTTCTTTCTTTCTTTCTTTCTTTCTTTCTTTCTTTCTCTCTTTCTTTCTTCCTCCCTTCCTCCCTACCTCCTTCCCTCCCTTCCTTCCTCCTTCCCTCCCTCCCTTCCTCCTTCCCTCTCTTCCTTCTCTTTCTCTCTTTCTCTCTTTCTTTCCCCTTTCTTCCCCCACCATTATTATTTTCACAAACAACTCGGGGGTGGTGAACATATCCAATACACCTTCCTCCTATTTTCCTCAAGACAGCAGCCCTGAGAGGTGGGTTGGTCTAAAGTCACCCAGCCAGTTTTCATAGCTAAAGCAGGATTCATGCAATAGAGTTTACCCGATTGTTGTGAAGTTGTTTTAAAATAAATAAACTCTTACCTGTCACATATATGTTAGTTATTTTTATATTTGTGGGCCTTTTGGTTTAGAGGTTCCTTATTTTATATTATGATGTTACAATTAACTGAAGTGCATTATTGTTTGAGTTCTTCAATTCCCTGTCTGCACTCTGCTTAGTAATAAGGATATAATAACTACTTGTATTACTATTATTACTACTGAAATAGTCTGTGTCCTGGGCCTATGCAATGCATTGAACTATTTTTACACAACACAATGAACCTATACAAGGTTAAGACTAACCTAGTTTAGCCTCCTTGTGTGAATGAAGACACTAGTTTTTAAGAGGCTATTGCCTGACCTAGCTATATATATTTCTTTGCTTACTACTCAGTGTTGACTACTGTCAGCTTCCTGGACAAGTCCCTGCAGTTTTCTTGGCAAGGTTTTTGGAAGTAGTTTGCCTTTGCCTGTTTCCTAGGGCTGAGAGACAGTGGCTGGCTCAAAGTCACTCAGCTGGCTTTGTGACTTAGGCAGGATTAGAACTCATGACCCTCTGGTTTCTAGCCTGGTTTCTCAACCATTACACCAAAGAAGCTCCCAAATGAACCACCAAGGATGCCTAAATAGTTTAGAGATTAATCAGGTTAATGCTGCAGAATGCCTTATATTGTTAAGATCAAGGCATGGAGCAGATTAATTACCTTGGAAGCAAGTGAGTGTTATTAGAAGCTTTTAAGTAGAACCAATGTGCAATTCAATAACAGTCCAATTTTTTTCAAAGGCCAAAGATTGGATCTATTCAATTCTGTTTAATTACAATTGCAAAACAAGAATAGGATAATAATCAAAGGGCTGAAAGGGACCTCAGAGATCTTCTAGTCCACTCCCCTGCCGGTGGCAGGAATCCTTATACTATCCCGCACAAATGGTTGTCTAATCTTTTCTTGAAAATTTCTTGCTTGTTTTTATGTACAAGGTACTTAGTTACAAACTTAAGTAACTGCATTCACACAACACGTTAAGCTGGGTTGATGTTCATCTCAGTCTGCTTTGCAATTTGGGATGTTGCATCAACCCAACCCATTAGGTTATTTTGCAATTTGCTGTTTTCTGTGAACCTAGGATATAGACTGAGAATTGGAAACGGAACCACTGATTGGTTCAAAATTATGAAAGGAGTCCAGCAAGGCTCTATACTATCGCCCAGCCTATTTAACTTATATGCAGAGCACATGAAAAAGGAGAGGCTAGACGAATCAAAAGTTGAAATTAAGATTGCCAGGGGGAAATATCAAGAACTTCAGATATGCAGATGATACCACTCTAATGGGAGAAAGTGAAGAGGAATTAAAGAACCTCTTGATGCGGGTGAAGGAGGAGAGTGCAAAAGTTGGCTTGGAATTCAACATTAAGAAAACTAAGATCATGGCATCCGGCCCTCTCAATTCCTGGCCAATAGATGGGGATGAAATGGA